AATCGCAAATCCATCATGGATCTGATCAGTCCAGCCCAGATTTGCAGGAGAAGGTCCAAGAGTTTTCCTTCTGAGAAGGTGCAGTGGAGAGTAGGGGTGGGCATTCGGTATTTCGGTTCGGTATTTAAGAATTTCGGTTCGATATTTCGGTATTCGATTTATCAATTGTGTATACCAAATACCGTACCAAAATATTTCGGTACGGTTCGGTATTTCTTATTTTGGTTCGGTACGGTTCGGTTTAAACCAAATTTTCACTATCTCCCTCACTCCATTAACTAATAGGAAGCAAACAACTGAAATATCTTGTTTATTTCTTCTGCCATGGATCAACCAATTCTCCACAATCTATTCCTAATTTCTCGCATGAATGACTTCCACCAAACGTAGTTTTTGGTATATTACATATTTAATTAGCAATATTTAATATTATAAAAGGTATAATAATGAAATAATTTCATTTTATATTTATGGAATAATGATATTATATTGCATATTTAATTATATAAATGGTATAAGATACATACATACTTAGAAATAAATATTTACAGAATAATATTGGTATAAATATTATATATTCAGAATTCCGCCAAAATATTGATATAAAAATTCTGGAGTGTATTATATGTTATAATTCAGTTTGTGGTATATTTATCATATAAATATTACTATATGTTTGGACTATGTTATATAGTTGTATGAGTTTCACTTTGTATAATATAGTACTATTATATACAACATATATAAATGACATAATGTACATATATAAACAGGTATGTTCCATATAGTGATAAATATATACGTATAATATATCTAACATAAACCATCAAAATCCTACAGAATAATGGAACGCATGAAACACCATAGGATGCATTTCAATGTTGGATATTGGCGGATCAAGGAAGTATGTCAAAAGTTCTTTAAGATGGTAGAGAATGTCCCATGATTTATGCATCTTGTCTAGTCATTAATTATTTGCTTAATCTTTATAATATGCCATTAGTGTAAAAAAAATCTTTCATTTATGTAATAAATAAAGAATATTATTATTTTCTTAAATAATTTTTAAAAAGTGCTCACCCATGTCGATTCCTCTTTTGAATTTGTGGTGTGGGCTTAAGGTTATTGGGCTAAAAATTAAAAACAAAGTTGGGCTTGAACTAAACTATTTCGGTATTACCGAAATACCGAAATATCAAAAACCCAATATCGTATACCGAACCGAATTACCGAAATACCAAAATTTTTGTACCGAAATAAACTGCAATACCGAAAAAACCGAAACCGAAATACCAAATTAATTCGGTTTGGTTCGGAATTTGATTTTTCGGATTTTATGCCCACCCCTAGTGGAGAGGTCAGCCGATTGAGGAGGCTACGTGGAAGTCCGGGTCTGATATACGGAGTAGATAACCCCACCTTTTCACCAGTCCAGGTATTTTTCTATGTCCGTTCGAGGATAACTGTTTCTTTTAAAGGTGGAGAATGTGATGACTTGATAGGTCATTTTGAGTACTAACCTTAAATTCTTTGTTCTGAGAGATCTCTAGGTAAACGTGTATTGTATGGGTGAGTTGAGCTTGTTGAAGGCTTGTAGTCAGCTTATGAACCTTTGATGGATATTGATAAATATATCTGGTCAATGTTTTGATGTGTTTGGGATATCTAAATTAGATATCCACTTGTTGAGGAATTTTCTCTAAAACGCATGATCTGGGTTAAGACATGAGTTATTTATAAATGTGCATTCGTGTTTTTGGGGACAAGTGGATATGAATGTCTCCGTGTACTAGAATATTGTTGCATATAAAGTGTCACGCTATTTTCAAATAATCTTGGTTTAAAAACTTGTCGGTAAAATGACAATTAACGCAAATCTTAAAAGTTTTATTAAAACTTATGTATTGATAAGAGTATAAAATATTTGGATGTTAAAGATATGTTTTTGTGATAAGTATATCTTTTTGAAACTTGATATAAAAAAAAATCGCACTCGTTTTATCTTTTCAATATTAATGTTAAATTGCTAAAGGCTTTAACATAAAAAAAAAAGTTATTCATTTGATTTTTGTTCAAATATTTGGTTTGAACATGAATATCATGATTTGATAAAAATAGATATTTTAAGGATACTAGGCTATGAATCTATTTTTGGAATATCAAATATTTATTGGAGTTACTATTGGAGACCACTGAGATTGGTTTGAATGTTAAGTTTATTATCAAATAACTACACGTGTCGGTGTAGCAACACATTCCACGGCTATGCCGAGTTTTGTGGGATAAATTTTCCCATTGTGAGGGTAAATAATTGTTACTTAAGGTAGGTTAAATTGACTCGGACATCACTACGGAAAGCCATCCGGACAGGTAGGGTCAAATACTTTTTGCTAGATTGATCACCTAGTGATTATTTATTATGTCGGTGTCGATATAGTACTCCCGATGAAAGGTAAAAGAAGATAATTTTAAGTTTGGCCTAACGAGCCAAAAATAATTTTAATGACTTGATACAATTGAAATTATTTCGTATGATTTTTAAGATTATGGATTGATATAATTATTTTAAAAGGTTTTATCGGCGGTTAGATTTCACTAAACTTTTTATTTAAAATGATTAAGGGTATGATTGATATAATTGTTTACCTCTTTATATCAAATATTTGTTGCATTTATTTTTGTAAAGCATTATCTCAGGTAGGGGTGGAAAATGCCCTGTTTGGGCTTGTCAAGATGGGCTGATTCATTAAATGGATCATTTCCCAACCCTGTTCAAAATTCAATTGGGTTAAGATGGGTTGGGTCAAGATGGGTTAAACAATGGGTTATAACCCAACCCGCCCAAATTGACCCAAATTTTTACAATATTCTCAACTTTTAAACAAGCATATATAAAATATTCTCACATATATAACAATAACTTTTATTTTTATTTTTCGTAATTATCATTCTGGAATGGTTTATGATGACAACATTTTTTTTCTTTTTTCCTGTTGCTTCTTGTCTTATGTTTTGGAATAAATGTCAATCCATGCCTAAAGATTTCTTTGCTCCATTTTCGATTTAGAACTTTATTTGATAGTTCTTTATCTTATAATACTAATAAAGATAAGAATAATAAAATTTAATAAAGTTAGAACTTCACAGTCAACCCCAACCTCCTCCCACCACCCCAACCCCACCTTACCCAGAACCCCCACCCCACCCTAAATAGAAATATTATTTAAAATACTTTATTTCGGTACTGTAGATAGAGTATTTTTTTTATTATTTCAACAAAATGAGTATTTTCTTTTTACGATGTAGAAAAAGTATTTTCTTTTATTTCAACAAAGAGTACTTTCTTTTCATGTTGTAGAAAAAATATTTTTGTTTTGTTTCAACAAGAAAAAGAGTATTTTTTTTTCCAGTTATGAAGTTCAAATTTCAACGTTCTTGAATGAAAAAGTAAAGCAACACATTAGTTCCTTTGGTTTGTGTGAATTTTAAAAAAAGTTAATTGAATTCTTGGAGAAAATTAAGTCCTGAAAACGTTGAGTATTTGGGGGAGGGGAGGGGGGAGGATACAGGAAACATGGAGATTTGGGTGGGGGGTTAAGGAGAGTAGCATAGAAAATATTTTCCTTCATACCAAACATACCTTTAGAAGCTTTAAAGGGCAATTGCTATTCATGGGTCAGTTTGGACTGAAATTATGGGTTGATTTGGACTACCAAAAATAAATGGGTTTAGTTGGGCTATGCCCAAACTTAGCCCATCATTAAAGTAGCACATGCCCAACCTATTAAGACCTAGGCGGGTTGGGCGGGTCAAATGGGTTTGGGCCACTTTTGCCACCCCTATTCCTAGGTACTTGAGTTAGAGAAAGTTTATAATACTTATTTAGTATTGTGACGGTGTACTCAACTGTCGAGGTATATGGCGAGGCACTACTTCTATTATGTGGTAGTTTTCATGTTGCGTCTTACTTTCTTTGAGTTGAAAATTATCCCAAATAGTTTTTCTATTCTTTTGTATAGAGGCTCCATAGATAGTAGTGTTGAATTGTAATAATATGGTTGCACGTTATACATGAAAGGATAATTATTTAATTTGATTTTATCATTCTTTTGAAATGTTTTCTTTATGGTTTTGAATATGAAAATCATTTCATGATCTGATTCGAAAATGTATATGATTTCAAATGGCTTCCGTAGTTAATTGGTTTTCATGCATATGATCGGAATGCACCATATGATTTGGTTCGCTCGGATTAGGTGACGTGCCGATCACATTGTTTTTAGTGTGACATGCCTCCTACTTTTTCCTGACTCATTTGCTGAAATCGCTTGACAGGCAATGTCCGTGCAACTAGACTTTCAGTGGTCCTGCTATGCCAGCAAGTGCCCCTTGTTTATTTCCAACTCATTTTTCTTCTTTCTCTTCGTTTTCTGGCAATCAATTTTCATGTGTAATGTAATACCGTAATAATGTGGTATTTCATCTTGCTTTTCTTGAAAGTGCATGTATCCTTATAGGTTGAAGTTGTTAGCATTGTTTTTAATGTTCATGCTATAAGAACTGTTGTCTATTCTTTTGCACTTCTTGCAGCGAGTTGCGGGGTAATTAGTATCGTAAGACAAGATCCAATAGTAGTATGGTCGAGAAATCATACTAGGTTTATCACAGCATCCTGTTATACGAAGAAGTATGTTATGTTTAGAACTCTCGACGCTTCCAACTTTGTGAATACATAACGTGGATGAAACTCGACAATAGAAAGTGTCTATATAGCCAGTGCTGCTGATTCTGCTGGCCATCGCTAGCAGAGCTATCGAACAAGGATAAAGAATTAATGGACAAAATTTAGAAAATAATATCGCATTATCATCTCTCTAGTCTCTCTTTTCCAGCATTTTGAGTGTAGCTATAGTATTGGCAAAATGGTTAAAAGAAAATAGTTATCCACCTATATTATTCATTAAAAATGTGTTGGACAATGAACTTTCAAAAACGGGTTAAATATGAATAAGAACCATATTTTCCACTTAGACAATGAATAACTAGTGTGTTTAACTTTTACATTTATAAAGCTTCTAATTGGAAGTTCCTCAAGTTTGGGAGACTTAATTCTCCCAAAAGTGATCATATTCTAGAAGTCATGGATAATATGGATATCCAAATTATCCGCCGATTAACCCGTTTTTTATCCCTATTAAATATGAGTTAGGCCAGATAATTTATCCGTTTTTGCATTACCCATTTTTTATCCGCCCATATCCGCCCGACCTGCCCGTTTGTCACCCCTAGCTATAGTACATGTTAATAAATCAACCCTCAAGTGTTCCCTAATACACGACTATGCTACATATAGATTGATGAGGGATCAATCTTAAAATTGTGGTCTGTTATTTTTTGGAGCAAACAAAGGAATATCCCAAAACCCAAACACCCCCGTATATAAGATTATTCAAAAGTGAGGAAGATGCAGCTCCTTCAGCTATTTCCTACTGCTGGTAGCCTTAGCCTTTTTAAAGTTGGCTAGTTCTTCAATGAGCTTCCTCTCCTCACCACTCACCCGTTTCGGAATCTCAACTTGCACTCTCACTAGCTGGTCGCCCCTCATGTTAGGTTTGTTTAGAAGAGGCACACCTTTTTTCGCCATTACCAGTGTTGTGCCTGGCTGGGTACCAGATGGAATCTTTAGATCAACCATTCCGTCTACCGTGGGCACCTTCATTGTTGTCCCCAAAATTGCATCAATATAAGAAACTTTGCAAGTGTAGAGAATATTGGTGTCATCTCGCTTTAATACAGGATCTGGGAGAACTTCTAGTGTAACAAAAAGATCGCCTGGGTGTCCACCTCTCCTTCCTGCATTACCTTCAGACCGAACCCTTAGCCGGCTACCTGAATCTACACCAGGGGGGATTTTTAAGCTTATACGTTTCGATTTCCTCACACGTCCATCCCCACTACATGTGTTGCAAGGAGTAGATATCTCTCCAGTC